TGCTGAACAACAAGGTGGGCACATTCAAATTCATCTACGTGGACGTGCTCAACGAGGAAGAGGAGAAGCCCAAGCGCCCCACCAGGAGGAGGAGGAAAGGAAGACCCCCCCAGCCCAAGTCGGTGGAGGATCTCCTGGATCGCATCAACCTCAAAGTTAGTTCCATCCTGTCCTGGCCCCGCATCTGCTATGATGAGTACCCATTATCCTACAGAAATAGTTACCAGCACCATGACTCTGCCCTTGACCTCCGCTGGGGGTGATAGCATAAATCCAGGTCGCAATGAGCTCCTAGTCCAAAGAGCTGTGAGCTTCAAGCCACTACCAGGAAGGGCTGTAAGCACAAACTCCTGGTGCCCTGGTTGGCTTCTCAGAGGCCGTAAGGATTCTCCCTTCCACCCTCTCTCCTGCCATTACTCCCGGCATCTAGCGGGGTGGGTCTACATGGTAGATTCTGTTTCCTCCTTGCAAAACTGTCTTGCTACTGAGGAAGTCCCAGGTCTCTGTGAGCTGGATTTCAGCAGCTCTAGATGAAAGAAGAGTCTTCTCCGCTGTGCACTGGGTGGCATTGTAGCCTTCAGCTCACGGCAAGGGCACAATTAAAATGCAAGCCAGTGGAGTCCATCTCAGCCTGCAGTGTAAATCTTCTTAACCCCTGATGAATGAAGTGCCCCGCCTGCCCACTAAGCTGTAGGACTGGGAGGTACAGACCGTGCTACAAAGGATACTTACTAAATTTTGAATTAGCATAAAAATGACTATGGAAAAAGAGTTTAGGGGTTTGAGGCTGGTCATCGGTCGTGGATCACATGGCTGGGCTGCTGACTCACTTCTGTCTTGTTTCCCTCCAGGAGCACATGCCCACTTTCCTGTTCAATGGATATGAAGACTTGGACACCTTTAAGCTCCTGGAGGAGGAAGATTTGGACGAGTTAAATATCCGGGACCCAGAGCACAGAGCTGTTCTCTTGACAGCCGTGGAGCTGTTACAGGAATATGACAGTAAGTCCTTCCCAGCACAGACGTGTTCACTGTTAGATCCGCCACATTCTCAGGTCACCAGCAGGCGTCCCATAAGCTGTGAGCATATGCTTGGGTCCTTGGAGTCACTCATTCGATCCTACTCTTTCCAAAGCCAAGGTCAATTTTGTATTCTGTCAAATAGCACAAAGACATAGATTCCCAAAGCAGACCTTCCTGCCAATGCAGGAGCAAAAGAAAACCTTACTAGCCTATACTTTCCTGGCATGTTTCTAGGTAATCGTTGAGGAAAACGCTCCTCTGAGTGACTGAGAATTGAATTGCAGTTTTCTTAAGACACACAGTTCATGCCACCTTGGGGGCTGGTGGGATGTGCAGCCTTCAGGAGGTCACTGGGATACCTGGGCACAACAGCAACTGACAAACTGGGAGTATCTTGCCCCACCAAGGGTTAATTACTTCTCAAAGCACATGAGGAGTTGTTTTGTGATTGAATAGGTTAATTAATGAGTAAATGAAATTCATCAGCTTGCGTTAAAGAAGCAGGGAAATAATCTCAAGTGAATAGGTGGAGCAGAGAATTCCATGCTGCGATTTCTCAGCTAAAATGATAGCTCATTTTTACAACCCATGAAGAGAATTTAGTGAGCTCACAGCTTTCACGTAGTCTATTTGAATACACTGTGTCCTTTGCTCCATTAACCCGGTCTTATCTTGCTCTTTATTCTTCAGTCTGACATCAGAAATATTCTTGAAATTATTCATCACCAAGTGGGGAGTATCCTTGCCAGTTACTGAATTCAAATGCATTTTCTTTCAAATGCTCTGCTTCGGGCATATCAGTAGCTAATAGCATTTCCATTGCTAAAAGACACACCAAAATCATGGTGAATGGTGGGAAAAAAAATTGTACATTACTGAATGTATCAGGCCCAAGAGACATGGAAGCAAGTGTCTCAGTGCAGTTAAATTCACTTCTGCTTAATAAGTCCTCCCTCTAAATTAACTGATGACACACCATCAAATAGACGCCTAAACCCTGGATAAACACACTGCCTTCAGGGATAGATTTGGAGGGAATTATGTTTCGGAGTTAATATCACTTTATAACCTGGTGTCTTTAGTACTGGAGTTCCCCAGGAGACACCTTGGGGATCCGTGGCCAGGTTGTGTCAGAGCCTGGCCCAGTGCCTGGAATGGCCGACCAGCTATATTAATATCAATTAACGTTCAATCATCTAGACTCCTGGACCACATCTGCTCGGTAAGATAGCTCATTTGCTCTTCCTCAGCCACTGAGAACAGCTGGTTTATAAACTCCATCCATTGCGTTTCCTTTAGCATTTAGACACAGGAGGAGCAAAGCTAAATTCTGAGTATAAGGTGCAGGGTCTGTCTCTGTCATGCCGCAAGGGCCAAGACTCCTTGTCCCTCCTGGGATCATGTCCTGAGGTGTGCACTTGGGCATATTTTATAGGAGCGAATCTTTGCCCCTCATGATGCTCACTCACAAGTCTAAGGAAGGCTCTTTGCTTCTTCATAAATCCCATTTTGAATCTGTGCTGTGCCACTGTATAGACCATCCCGCATACATAAATTGGTACTTCTGTTTAGTGGTTCTAAAACAAAGGCTTCAAGGGCTCAGGGGTGCCAGTGAGCACCAGGAGCCTGGATGCAGGATTATCCTAGGATTAGAAGATGCTACATTCAGCGCTTTTAAATTCATTGTGTTTAAGAAGTACTCTAAGTAACTGATACCTTAGAGGAACACAATAAATTTCTGTCAGACTAGTAGACAGATCCAGAGACCTGCTGAGACCTGAGAGATCTTGCACATCTTCCAGCTCAGCCCCCGACAAGAGCAAGAGGCACATCTGCATCATGGCTTGGCACTCAGATGGGTCCAGCTTCTCTCATTGCATCTGTGCACGGGGAATGCCAGCCTTCCTGTGGGGTTCCATTTGGAAAAGACTCTCATTGTCCCGGGGCAGTTCCTTCTACTGATCCCAGACGCACTCTCCTAGGTCTGCCAGATGAAAGCTCTCGTTTAACAAAATCATTTTCATAAGAATAAGAATTTTAATCAGGAATTATTTCAAATACGCAGGAAAGTACAGAGAAAAATAAAACAAATCCACATACCATTTTATCATATTTACTTCAGTGCTTATTTTTTAAAGACATAAGTGTTGCAAGCCCATTGGAAGGCCTGCGATCCAAGAATCCCATTTCTTTCCCTTCTTCTTTTCCAAGGTAACTACGCTCCAGAAAATGGCACATGTCCTCTCGCATAAGCACCTTTTGATGTTTGGATGTCTCATCAATGTCTTAGCATATTCTTTCTCCGTGTGTGTGTGTGTGTGTGTGTGTGTGTGTGTGTGTGTGTGTGTGTGTGTGTGTGTGTGTGTGTGTTGAGATGGGGTTGGGGAGAGCTTTAGTCCAAATTCAGGTCATGTCCAAATGGAGTTTCAGCCCCACAGCCCAGTCCTTCACTCTTACTTGACTGTGAGAATGTTCGTGATTCTAGCTCCCCTTCTTTCTCGTCCTTGGTGCCTTGGCATTAATTCTAGTGAGTATGGGGTGCAGGGAGGATGTGGCCTTGAGTGTGCAGTACATCTAAGAGGTGCCCCGCCTAATGACGATGGATAACCTACTAGGGAAACACTAGCTTTTAGTTTTAGGGAATTTTGCTAAATTTGTTGGCTTCCTGCAAGTAGCTGCTGATTGGATCCTTCAGGAAGAAAGTGGCTCTAGCCCCTTGAATAGGCCTCATGATTTTATGGATTGAACTGCGGTTTTCAGGCAATGCAAGGGACCCCTTCACTCCCCATAATAACTTCAGGTATCCTGCTGTGTGGTGAGGCTGGCATCCCGAAAGATGCAGGCACAGTCTGCATTTTCCTTCAGTGGCAGGGACAAGTCTTCCGTTTTATTCCCATCGGTCAGCACTTTGGAGTCTGTTTGGCCGCTGCAATACACTGAACTATCTCGCCAAGGACAAACTGCATTGATTCCTCTTCCTGGGTTGTAATTGATAGCTCCAAGCCCTCATTTTATAAGTATCATTTTCCAAAATAACACGCTAGGCTAGAACAAAGGCCATTCCAAATCCACAGACTCCTCCACACAATGATGACACCACTCTAGAATGTTCCACTTTCGGTGCGGGGGAGGGGAAAGGGTTTTTCTCTTTTGCTTCCAATTAGTTAATTTTTCATTAATCTCTTTAAAAATAGCATTTCTTAATTTGGTGCTCTAATGTAAGGGCTTGTTCCGCCATGATTTCTGTTATAAAATGCTTCCCACGTGAGAAATAGAAACAGGAAATGGTCAATGGACAGTAGGAATGGCAGCCCTCAGCCTTCCCGCAATTTTTCTTTAATGACCCAAGAAAAGGCATCAGATTTCTGGTTTATTGATTTAGTGTGTGTGTGTGTGTGTGTGTGTGTGTGTGTGTGTGTGTGTTGGGGGGAGGCGAAGTGAAGAGAAAGAAAAGTAAATTAAAGCCATTCATCGTCAACTACTTATTTTAGGTAGAAAATGTTTTCTTGGTTTCAATTTTTATCGACCAAGCATCTAGTCTGCATAATGATTGAAAGACAGTCTTCCTGTAACTTTGAACCTACATAAGGCCAGCCATGCCCTCTTTATAGAATGTGCAGACTGTGGTTATTCTCCCCTCACTTTCGACATGATGCTCTGAATTTCTCCTCTCCCTGGTTGGCCTGAGGGTAACTTAAAAGGCATTGATGTATTCCAACTATGTCCTCTGTCTGCAAACTTACCTTCCTGTGATACATGATTTGAAAAGAAAAGTGTTCTGATCTCACTCGTTCATTTTTATCTCATTTACTTTAAAATAATTTGTTCTCTTCCAAAGTCCAAGGCTTCAAAATGTATTGTGAGAACTGAGGATAAAACTGGGATGCAGTTGATTTGGAGCCTGCTTTTCATTCCTCTTACGATCCCATGCTATGTGTTCATCTTCTTTAGGTAACAGCGACCAGTCCGGATCCCAGGAGAAGCTGCTTGTTGACAGCCAGGGCTTGAGTGGATGCTCTCCACGAGACTCAGGATGCTATGAAAGCAGTGAGAACTTGGAAAATGGTACTGTCAGCACAAGTGATCATGAATGCATCTTCATACGCAAGCCTTCTGGGCCATTTCTTGACATCTGTGCTTTGGCTAATGACTGTCTTTCTTCCTCAGCCTGAGCCATTCATTGCTTTTGGGAAAAGTGGCAATAGGGAGAGGAGTGTTTCCAGGGTGAATGGTGCTTAATTAAGATCCTTAAGAGGGAGGAACATCTCTCAAGAACCTAGGCGACTGATGATGTTGAGAAATGAGTAGAGAGGTCTTTCATCAGTTACTCTTCCATCCCACGTAGCACATAATTGCAAAGAGTTTAAACTTGTGTGTCAGAGAAAGGGACCCTAAACTTTCCATCGTTCTGCTGCTCTTAGAGGTTTAGGCCCCTCCCCCCATCTGGATCACGCAAAGAGCTGTGGGGCTTTAGAGTGGGGAGACCTGGGGTTTGAACGTGAATAGGGCATAGCTGAGACTTTGGCCAAATTACATCTCCGACTCCTCCTTACCTTTTTTTTTTTTAACAGATTGATTTACTTACTTATTTATTTATTTTTGGCTGCGTTGGGCCTTCGTTGCTGCGTGCGGGCTTTCTCTACTTGCGGGTGGGGGCTACTCTTTGTTGCGGTGCATGGGCTTCTCCTTGCGGTGGCTTCTCTCGTTGCAGAGCACAGGCTCTAGGTACGCGGGCTTCAGTAGTTGTGGCACACGGGCTCAGTAGTTGTGGCTCGCAGGCTCTAGAGTGCAGGCTCAGTAGTTGTGGCTCGCAGGCTCTAGAGTGCAGGCTCAGTAGTTGTGGCTCGCAGGCTCTAGAGTGCAGGCTCAGTAGTTGTGGCACACGGGCTCAGTAGTTGTGGCGCACGGGCTTAGTTGCTCCGCGGCATGTGGGATCTTGCCAGACCAGGGCTTGAACCCATGTCCCCTGCATTGGCAGGCGGATTCTTAACTACTGCGCCACAAGGGAAGTCCTCCTCCTTACTTCTTAAATGGTAATGTGAGTTGTTTTTTTTTTTAAATAGATTATTCTAAGACAAAGTAATAATATATTAAAAATACCTAGCACTTTGTAAACACTGATTATGAGTGAGGCAGTGGGCTAGGTGTGCACGTATGCAATTGCTAATTATCACTCAGATCCTGCAGTGCATATTTTATAGATGAGGATGCTAAAGAGAGATTAAATAATAACTGAAGCCCTTGTTCTTTTCCTCTTGGCACCACTCTGACTCATAGTAATAGGCTCTCGGTCAATGGTAGACAATATTTTAGACCTGACTTTCCAATACCATAAGCATTTTCAAGTCCATACTCTGACTACTTAATGTCGTCATACGTCAGCAAGGGGTATCGGGGCTTAGTTGAACTTCAATCCAGAAGGGATTTAGTTTGTATGTTATCATAAGTACTTTCACAAACCATGGATTAGATGAAAATAGGTGGACCTATTTTGGGAACAAGGAAAAAGGCAACATATACCATAAAAGGTCTCTTTGCCTATTTGCTTATTTATTCTGAAGAGCAAGAAAATCCCAGTGCTCGGGACTGTCATCTGTGAGTCTCTCATTTCAATGTGAGGATTTTGAGGAGCCCCGCTGAGAACACGATGCAAAGCCAGGGCAGGAAGGTTGGTTCCTTCAGTATCATCATCATCCCTCACCTCAAGTTTTCTTCTTAAATAGACAGTAAAGCCTGAGCAGGGGCGGCCCTCGGTGTTTGGACACTGCCCTGGGAAAACAGGCATGCTCGTTAGTTCAGGGATCGCAGTTGCACGATGACTCCTTCCATAAACAGATAGATTGGGCTTGACATATATACACTAATATGTATAAAATGGATAACTAATAAGAGCCTGCTGTATAAAAAAGAAATAAAATTCTAAAATTGAAAAAACCCCACAAAAAACAGATCCTGGCAACAGTATTCTCATTACAGTATGAAAATATCTAAATTCATATTAAAATAATGTGAAAAGTCTATTCAAACATTTCTTCATTTTTATGAAAGCTAGAGCTCTGAATGAAGGGTATATAATTAAATCTTAAAGAGCACATTTTTGTTTTTAAAAAAATCTCAAAACTTCAGACCAGCTAGACAGAAAAAATATAATTACCCACATCCAATATGGTACTTCCTTTGTCCCCACAGACAGCATAACTGGGGGCTCAGAGTTATGGCCCCCAAACGTCACATCACTGGGCCAGCCCTCCTCATGGTCTAGTTTTTGGAAGTTATTGGAGAATGTGTATTTTTGGCTCCCATACCTACTACAAATGTGGACTCAGTTTGAATCAGTGGTTTACTTTACTTAAGTAAACTTCTTTGTGTACATAGAAGACATTTACTAAACAGGCTTTGGAACAACAGGATCAACCATAAATTTCACTTTGAAAAGTAGCATAAACATATACACTGAAGATATGAAATTGCCGGGAGTCCACAATTCAAACCAACCAAAAGCACTTGAAAAGCAAGATGTTTTCAAAATAGATTTGACATTTCCGCACCCCACCACCCATCTTTTCTGCTTTGTCCACGTAACAGTTAAGGACATGGTACCTCCCCACCTTTGTTTTCTCAAACATTAAACCAAGCTGCACGATTTTGTTCTAGTTTTACTAGGAGAGTATTTTCACCGAGTGGAGAAATAAACGCAGGGTTTACAGAAGCAGTCCCTCTTATGCAGTTCGTAACTTCTGGTTCAGAAGCTCATGCTGCCTAAGGCCCTGGTTTTTAACTGTGGTCTGCGGGGTCACGAGAATGGGGGCCTTGGTGGCGGTGTGGGGACCTGGGCCTTGAGAAACCTCCACACTTCAACTTAGATCTGTTTTGTAAATGAAGCTTCATTAAAAAGGATCCTCCTGGGCTTCCCTGGTGGCGCAGTGGTTGAGAGTCCGCCTGCCGATACAGGGGACACGGGTTCGTGCCGCGGTCCGGGAAGATCCCACATGCTGCGGAGCGGCTGGGCCCGTGAGCTGTGGCCGCTGAGCCTGCGCGTCCGGAGCCTGTGCTCCGCAACGGGAGAGGCCACGGCAGGGAGAGGCCCGCGGACCCCAAAAAAAAAAAAAAAAAAAGTATCCTCCTGCTTTGCAAAGTACTGATTTTAAAAGTGCAGCGTTCTGAAGAGAGACCATTCTCTGACCATCGTGAACGCGGTGCTAATCTTTTCCTTTCCGACTCCTTCGCCGTTCTCGTTTCTAGTTATAGCCTCTGCTGACTTCTGTGTGAGGTGAATAAATTCCATCTAAAATACCTGCAGCCATAAAACCTAAATTCTGTGTCTCCTATGTCCTCTTCTTTTCGCAATGAAAACCAACATTTGAGTGTTGGGAACTATTAGGTCCATAAGGAAAACAACTTACCAAGTAGACCATCCATCAGGGCCACACGAGCAGCAGCGGCATGGCCTGAGGACAGAGCAGTTTCGGAGGGAGAGGGCCATGTGAGGCCCGCATGCCTTGTCTGTTGCTTCGCAGTCCTAACGGTCGGGAAGCAGTCCGTAGGAAATTGAGACAGCTTACTTGTCTCAAACAGAAGAGGAATCTTAAGTGGATTGGGGTCAGGTGCACGCAGGGTTACCATGGGTGGCTCTGTTCACCAGACAGCAGTAGCAATTAGTATCAGTCAACAGTTGTCAGCTAAGTACTGTGACTGGTTGATAAGTTATCAGCCTGACAATCATTTTATTTTAATCAGGTCTGTGGCTTCAGTGGCAATTAGAACCATATCAGTATCTAATAGATTGTCTGTGGCGACATCCTCACGTCAGCTTGTTTACTCATTTGTACCAAGGTCGGCTGACTGTTACTAGGGTACCTTTATTTTACACACCTGAGCAAAACACAAAGCGGGGAGGGCTTGAAAGGTTTGAGAATTCAGCGGTCACCAGTGAACCTTGGGGAATACCATTTAAAGAACTTGTCCCAGAATTCAGTCCTACATCCTCTTTGCAGCCATGGTCTTAGGAAACTACTCCCTAAACAGAAATCCCATCACTGTGGTTCCTAAATGGGGTGTGGGTGTGCCTTGTTTCACACAGACTGCAGCTATGAACAGACATTAGGCCTAGATTTATTTTATTGCCTGACACAGCATTATTTTCTTTCCACATAACTCAATTAACTTTCATCTCCCTGAGTCCTTTAATAAGACTAAGAATTCTTTCTAAAAATAAACATGGGACCGCAATAACTCTACATCACCGGTGGTGATTTTATGTCCTTAGTGTGATTGAACAGTGGGATGTAAGAGTTGGAGATTTCAACTACGTTAGCACACCTTTTACATCAGTTTGATTGATTCGCTTTTTAAAATGTGATTGTAAAATATTTCCTTGTCTCGTAGGCAAGTCTCGGAAAACCAGCCCCTCTGCTAAATCTTCCGCTGAGTCCAGCGTGAAGTCTTTCAACAGGAATCAGCTGGGCAGCTACCCAACCTTGCCTCTAACGAAGCCAGTAGACGCGCTGAAGCCGGGAGGGGAGGGGAGGCTGGGCAGTGGTCTCACCCCTCACACCTCGAAGCACTGTGATCCGCCGTGTGTGACTGACTTGAATAAAAACCGAAGGAGCCTCCCCGTTTCCATCTGCCGGAGCTGTGAGACCCTGGAGGGCCCCCAGACCGTGGAGACTTGGCCCCGATCCCACTCCCTGGACGACCTTCAAGGAGAACCTGAAAAAGATGTGCCTGGTGAGGTGACAGAACCTTCCCCTCAGATTGTACCCAAAGTGCCACAAAAGACAGCGCCCTCCATCACAAAGGTTCAAAGCCCCAAACTAGATTCTGCTGTTGACAATGCACTGCTACTGACCCAAAGCAAGAGATTTTCTGAACCTCAGAAAACGACTACTAAGAAACTGGATGGCCCGATGGCTGCCTTTTCACATGGCACATCCCCTCCTCCGTGTTTACCCAAAACCTATGACGCCCAACCGCCCGCCGTTAAACACGGTTTAACAAGGACGCCTCTTGAGGGTCACAGGAAAGGACTCGATTTCGAAGGGACACATCACCCCCCGGGCACCAAAGAAGGTGTGGATGCTGAGCAGAGGGGCCCCGAGGCCAGAACGCAGGCCAGACCTCCCGCCCAGCCTCCCCCGGTCCCCGCCAAGAAGAGCAGGGAGCGCCTCGCCAACGGGCTGCCTCCTGTCCCTCCTGGCCCCCCTGGCCCCCCTGGCCCCGATGTACCCAGCCTGCCCCTTAAAAAGGGCAGCCCCGGCGGCCCCAGCGACTGTCCCCCGCCGCCAGCGGCCAGGCCTCCCCCAGGGCCGGAGCCGGGCAGCCCGCCGAGCACCAGGCCTCCACCCTGGCTGTCAGAGCTGCCTGAGAGTGCCAGCCTCCAGGAGCACGGCGTGCGGCTTGGCCCTGCCCTGGCCAGGAAGGTCTCCTGCACCCGCGGGGTGGACCTAGAGATGCTCACCGAGAAAAAGCTGCGGGCCGAAGGCATCGATCTCACCGAGGAGCCCTATTCCGATAAGGTATCCGAGACCCTGACCCCACTGCACAGGCTCTTCTAAGTCGGGCGGGGGCCAGGCGAGAGGAGCGGCATTGCCCCCCACCTCCCAGCCCCCGAAGGCCAGCTGGCAGCGAGGACCGATGGACAGTGACCGTACGGGTGGCCCACGGCGGAGGCTCCTGCCGCCCTGCGCTTGGTGTTCAAATGAACCTATAGCACAGTGCCCAGATTAAATGCAGACACGGCCTCAGGGGTTTCTTCTCTTTTCCCTTCTTTTCTCTTCTTTCACTTGTTTGTATTTAATTTGGGGCAGCTATCCTTTGCAGGGAGAGCTGTCAGTCAGTACTAGACCCAGTTCCTGAAAGGATAGACATGAGTTTCAGTTTCCGTGTCTTCAACATCTTTGTTTTTAGACATTAATAATGACCTGAGTAACCACCTCTTAGAGGTATTAATAGGAGCAAATAAAATAAACCTGAACCTACTTTGAAAATTGTAGAGCCCTATTCAGATGTAATAATTGGACTGTATAATTATCTGTATGGGTAACGGGGGAAAAGATACCTCATTGTACTAAAAACATTGAGACCTATAATGAAAACTCATTTCTCATTTGAAGAAAAATAAAAAAGAGTAGATCTGCCAATACCAAAATGACTTTGAATACAAATACATGATAATAGATGTAGCTGTATGTTACTCCTAGGGATGCATGAATTGTTATAAAGCATTCCCAGGAGTCTTTGTTATAAACTTCTTATGACCAAGAGTGCCTTACAATAAAATACTCCTCTGCCTTCTGATATTTAGTGAATGAACCCCTTTGAATGGAAAGTAGTGAGAATTCTACTGTACAGTAAATGCTGGTCTAGTGATACCCTAGTTGAGGAACCAACAGTAGACTCTCTGTAGGGCACAAATTTTCCCTTCTCCCCTGCAGTTTAGAAGACTGTCTTCAATAACATTTTGCAAAATGATCAGATAAGAGTGAGGTGAGGGCCGTTGGACCCCAAAATAGAGAATGATTGTGTCCTGTTTTAACCATATTTCAAAACATTTTTCCAGAGCTCATAACTACTTAAAAGATAAAGACGTAAAAGTGTTGTCTCTAAAACATCCATCCTGACACTAAATAAAATATATTCACTTCAAATTAAAACTTTTAGTCCTATTTTCTAGTAGCTAAATGTCTTACCCTACCTTGTGTTTGCCGTTCTTGGAGGAGGAAAAAGACCCTCGCAACCCTTGATAAGAGATTTCTGTTCCCTCGCAGCACGGCCGCTGTGGGATTCCTGAGGCCCTGGTACAGAGATATGCGGAAGACTTAGATCAGCCCGAGAGGGACATTGCCACCAACATGGACCAGATCCGCGTGAAGCTGCTTCGGAAGCAGCACCGCATGGCGGTAAGCAGCCCACGCTTCGCGGCTCCCCTCACCCAGCTTTTTGAAGTCCATTCAGTTCTAGAGCTTAATGATGAGCATGCTGGCAGCCGCTAAGTAGCCCAGGGTTCATTATCGCTATCGAAGGGAGACACCTGGGAGAGAGTAATACCTATTCAGCCTAGAAAGGTTTAAAAATACCGTTTTGGAGAGAAAAAGGTGAAAATTATCCATAACCCCAGCACTGTGGAAAAGTCCACATCTAGTCATTTCTCTGTACATATATAATAGTACATGAACAGTTTGCAAACCTTATTGTTTTCAGTTATCGGGTGGTGAACCTCTTTCTTTGTTACTAAAATTTCTTTTATATTATCAATTTTTCAAAGTGCTCTAGTAGGTATGTCCTAGTTCAGCCAGTTCCACATTGTTGAAACATTTAGATTTTTTTCCAGCTGTTTATTTTAAACAATTGAGTGAAGAACCTCCTGGTTAATAAATTTTTGTAGACTTTTGGAGTTAATTTCTGAGGATATATTCCTTCAAGAGGATTTGCTTCAACAAGACTGCACAAAATCTCAAGGGTTTGCACGTTTGGTGGTAAATTGCCTTTCTGAGAGGTGTAGCATTTGGCCTTCTCAGAATTCGAGTATAGATGTCCATTTCCCTGCCCTAGCCAACATTTATTATTGTATTTTTAATTCTTTATGACTATATTGATTAAATGCTTAATTTTCTGGATGTTAATGTAGATTCAAAATACAGAAGATCTACTTTATAAAAACCTTACCCACTGAGTATCTTACTTTTCACACTATCACATAGGTTTGCTTCTTCAAGCACCGTAAGGATCATTAGTTGAAGAGCGTGACCACCATGAGACAAAATAGCCAGAAATAAAAATGATTACAGTTTGGAGACTTACACACATATTTGGGGCTAGATCTAATTCCAAGTACCTTCTGGAACCTCCAACACTTTCTTGAAGATTTGTCTCACCTTTGAGAAGTCAGGAAAGAATTTTTTTTTAAATTTATTTATCTATCTACCTATTTATTTATGGCTGTGTCGGGTCTTTTGTTTCTGTGCGAGGGCTTTCTCTAGTTGCGGCGAGCGGGGGCCATTCTTCATCGCAGTGCGCGGGCCTCTCACTGTCGCGCGGCCTCTCTTGCTGCGGAGCACAGGCTCCAGACGCGCAGGCTCGGCAGTTGTGGCTCACGGGCCCAGTTGCTCCGCGGCATGTGGGATCCTCCCAGACCAGGGCTCGAACCCGTGTCCCCTGCATTGGCAGGCAGATTCTCAACCACTGCGCCACCAGGCAAGCCCAGGAAAGAATTCTTGATACTAGTCATGTTCTTGGACATCTCATAGCATTATCCCTTTCTGATAGTGTAGTAATAAATATAATATTTCATAGTGTTCCTTTTAGGCATAGAAGAAAGAGCTCTCCAGTGGCACCTGTTGAATCTTGATAAATTGCTTTCTTTGGTTACCCAGATCCCAAGCGGTGGACTCACAGAAATCTGTAGGAAGCCCCTATCTCCCGGATGCGTTTCATCCGTGTCGGATTGGCTGGTTTCCATCGGTCTGCCCATGTACGCCAGTGCCCTCACTGAAGCGGGCTTCAGCACGCTGGGCCAAGTGCCTTCTCTGTCCCACACTTGCCTTCAGGAGGCTGGCATCACAGAGGAGAGACACATAAGTAAGCTCGTGTCCGCCGCCAGACTCTTCAAACTGCCACCAGGCCCCGAGGCCATGTAGTCAGGCCCGAAATGGACCTCCCTGGACAGGAGCCACCCGTTCACTGTGTTTATGATGCTGATGCAATTCCTCCTTGGCTGGACATGCAGACCAGACCCAGAAGAAAGGCCCAGTGTGTGGCCAGCAGAACTCGGAATCTTGGCCCGGGACTCTCTTCTCCAGAAAAGCCCCCTCCAGGAAATTGGTGTGGTTCTCTTTGACCCCCAAAGAAAAGACAAGCACTTATTTTGTTTTCAGGACACAATAGAACAAAGGTGCCAACTTGGCACAAATGCTCTGCCTGCAGTCTGTCTTGGTGCACTGGGTGAGGGCAGGGGGCAGAGGGAGGGGCAGCCTGTCCTGTTTCTAAGCGTGCTTCTAGCCCTTCTGTCTGTCACCCTGCAGGGTTCCCGAGGCCCAGATGGGCTTTAGCCAGGCCAAAGTAACAGACTGGGGAGTGATTGTACACTATTGACCAGGCTCATTTGTTCAAAGATAAGAAAATCTGGCTGCACTAGGAAAAAAAAAAGCCCTATTCTCCTTTAGATAAACAAGAGACATTTTAATAATTGCTTTCTAGCAATCAGCTTTTATTTGCCTTAATGTAAGCTTTGAAGCAGTTATCTAACTTAGTGTTCACTACCATGTAACCATAGTTCCAAATCTTCATCTTAGACTGCCATCTAACGTATCTGGGATGTTTCCAGCAGAAATGGGCTTTTCTAATTGTCTCACTCTAACATGGCTTATTTTATAGGGGTGTTTATCAGGCCAAATTTCATGTTGACTTTCAGTTTTTAAACTAACTACAAATCTGGTAAAAGGCGCTCTTAAATTCACAAAGATATCACGTGTGAGAGTATATGTGTGTGTTTGAGGTTACGATCTTTCATTTTAATCAGTTTAGTGTTGTTACCACGTTGGTCGTTGTGCTGCAGTATTGACTTGGAATCTTGACCGTGTCTATTCCAAAATTCAGTCATTAGCTAACAGATCACCTTTGCAAAAGGTCATTGTAAGTTGAACATTTAAGGAGGTTGTTTGTTTTTTTTTTTTTTTTCCCCGGTACGTGGGCCTCTCAGTGTTGTGGCCTCTCCCCTTGCGGAGCACAGGCTCCGGACGCTCAGGCTCAGTGGCCATGGCTCACGGGCCCAGCCGCTCCGCGGCATGTGGGATCTTCCCGGACCGCGGCACGAACCCGCGTCCCCTGCATCGGCAGGCGGACGGACTCTCAACCACTGCGCCACCAGGGAGGCCCAAGGAGGTTGTTTTTTAAAAGGGAAGTCGTTTATAAGATATTTTAAAAGTTTTTTTGGGGGGTTTATAATTAAAATACTATTTTCCATCTTTTCTTATTTAGGTAATTCACTTAAATATAATAAAGGTTCATTCTGGAGCCAAACTACATTGGCCATGTATTAAGTAGCTGCATATTTTCAGTTGTCTTCCAACGGATTTCAGCATTCTCTTTTAGTCTAGTGGCTGATTCTCTAGCAAACAGAAATTATTGTTTCCAGTCGCTTACAAAGTGATTTTCCTTTACATTCTTATCATGAACCCTATTTTAAGCCCTGGGTGTGATCATTTACAATAGAAATGTTTTGAGCCTTGATTTAAAAGTTCTGTAATATTTCATCTACTCATTAAAACAAATGATATCCCGCAGGGGAGGGGGGGGAAAAAGGTGATTTCATTAATTACAAAACCATTTTACCATTTGCTTTATATATCTGGATCCATGTTTCTGAGGAAAAGGACATTCGCAGGTGACATATTTTTTTTCATGCTTTTGGTATGCATTTGAAAGAATAATATATATTTCTTCAATAATAGTCACCTTCTATAAGATGCCATGTAAGAAGTTGTGGAAATGTAGAAAAAAAGCTAAAGCTGCCAAATTTCTGTTGAACTCTTCAAAACAGCCCATTTTTGTCATCTGGGGTATGACATTCCTGTGGGCTGTGACATTCCATTTAGAAGGTAATGAGGCTGCCGGGCTCTCTTATGTCACTGGAAGGAATTTCAGGTGTGTGGTGAGGTGGGCACTGTAACACGGGCTCCTCGCCCTGCGTTTTCAGTACCTCAGCATGACATCCGAGAGAGCCTGCTCATAGCTTAAGCTGAGCTAAAAGACCACACGTAAAGTCAGGTAATAGGTAACAAAGGAGAAGGGGAAAGTGTTAGTTCATTTTCACGGTAAGATTTTCACTTAATGTACAAGTGGTGCCAGAAAAGGGAGCTTTCTGAATATGAGTTTTTGAGAATGCCAAACTGTATCTTTTTCATTCTTCTTTGGAAATCATTGCCTTTGCATAGAAGTGAAATTCAGGGACCATGAATCATTTTCAGTGGGAAGGGCTTCCTAGTCTGTGGGATCTGAGGTTTTTACTTATTGTGCTTTTTAAAAAAAATTTTTTTGTTTTTTTACTTTTAGTATTTGTTTGGTCTTCTTTTGCTTTAAACTTTTAATTTGATCTTAGAAAAGCCTGAATGTGTGTGTGTGATGTTTGACCGAGGTGGTTTGGGGCCTCCTGTGGATGCCAGAAGGCAGGTGGTCAGCTTCAGCAATATCCAGTTTTAATCCATTGCACTTGGTGCAGAATGTTGAGGAAGGGTGAAAATCGTCGTCTTTGGAAAGCACAAAAGAAACCTGGAGAGGCAGTTTGGCTCAGGTAGCTACACATCCGTTGTGTGTCATTTTTTCCTTTGAAGCTGTCTACAAGGAAGTGCAGCCAGTCCCAACCACTACTTACATTCCCAGATAACCAAGAAGTAGATTTTCCTGGCCTTGCCTTAGTCAGAGGCCTTTTCTCTTTCCAGGTATAGGTGAAATTGGAAATAACTAGTCGATTGAAAATCAGTTCCTCACAGAGCAAAGTTTGCTTTCATAATTGCAGCAGAAGGAGTCAGTTCACCAAGTCAATGCTGCATGTGTGTACTGTATTATTTTCAGAAAAAAAATATAATAGTCTGAGTCCAAGTTATCTCGATTTTAAATTGATAAACAAGAAACTGTCAAGCAAATTATATAACAACTAACAACATTGCACTTTCTGTATATGAATTCAATATTTAAATAACTTATTTTTCTTCATTGCTGTTCTTAAACATTGTAAGTAGCTGTAATATACCAGGTACCAATATGTTCTTGCAAAAATTGCTTCAGCCCAAGAAAGCTGTGTATTGTTTTAAAAATTGTAAAAATTATTGTGATGATTCATTTAGCAAAAAGGTGGACAGAAGGGTTTTCCTATGTATCAAAACTTGTCTATAATTATGTCATCTATGTACCTAGAAAAAAAAAGTAAATAAATTTCTTCAGCTGAATATGCCTCTTTTGTTGTTCCCTGGGTATTATAAAGGTACATAGGGTAGAAATGAAAGGGAATTTATGAAGTGTGGTTTAAGAATGAAATATATTGTAAAAATAGTAGTTGTACACAATTACTTCTGCCACATCACAAAAACTCACTATCATACTCACTCAGGTTCTGTTTGCCAATTTATTTCAGGTTTTTTTCAAATATTGCATAATCACATCACATAATTGCAGCATCTTAGCCCAGAAAGAGATTTTTTGGAAGCCACCTCTGGTCTAAACCCGTTGTCTTCAAATGAAGAGTTTCAGTCCACGCAGACTTGCCCAATATCATGTGTAGTTAAATGGAAACAATCCAGGTCTTCCACTGAGAGAGAAAAACATCTAGATTGAGATATTCTAGAAATCAACTAACTTGACAAAAATCATTTTTCAATGTTAGTGTGCCACAGTTGATAGAAAAACACATTTTTAATTAGGAAGGAGTGTGTAATACAACAATTTGAGTAGGTAGAAATGTGCACTTGAGACAGACCAAAAAGTGACCCTTTCCTTTTCTCTCAGCCACGTATTTCTCACACTACAGGTAAGTAGTATAACCAGCGTTTCCATATCTTTTCAGAAATGCTGTGTTTATTGACAAAGATAACTGCGTATGCATTTTTCCATATATTAGGAATGACAGCATTTCCCCACACATCTTCACTTAGCACGTGGAACCGCTGTGTTAAAGTTACGAGTATTTAAAATTTTGATAGAATAGTTTAAATCCACTGGTGGATTTCAATATAGGAAGCTCTACCACGGTAGGTTTTATTTACAAATCATTGTCTTATTCCCCACTCCCCCTTTCATATGTTCTTAAAGTCGGGGATTCCTCTGAAGCGCTGCATTATTTTAAAGAACTGACCCATAAACCTCAAGTCTTATTTATCTCAAGTTGACTCTTAAGATTCTATAGTTCAATTCACAGAAGATACTTTTTTCTTATGATTCCTAAGAAACCTTGACTGGATTCTTGGTATTTGTTCTAATTTGGCTTCGTGTTTGGATATTTATGTTGAATTCACTTAGAAGTCATAAAGAACGTAAGTTTGATTAGGGAAAGGAGAAAAGGGAAGGGTGGTTGTCATTTAACCACAACTTATTTGGGGGCCTTAGAATGATGACTTTACTCACCTCTGAGGACCCACTCAGAGAAAGGTACGTACATAGTACTCCTAGGGGTGTGTGTGAGGGTGTACATGAGGGAGTGAGAGACAGGAGAGGATGGATGCTCACTCAGGTGTAGGTCTGGACCACTCATCCGTCAGGGGACCATGGGCAGCGTTATTTGGAAGCATTCCAATTTCTCATACAGCACTCCTCCTACACTGTCAGAGAAGAACACTGAAAAGGGGGTTTAGCCGTCACCTCTCTAAAACTTAAGCAAAATACATGAAGGTTCTAATCAAACCAGGTTTGAGCCCAGTATGGAAGGACCCCAGGGTACGTGTGTGGGAGCCAATGGAGTTATGACTAATCTGATTGCAATTTACTACCATCCCCGTTCATCCTCAACACTCCAGTGATAAATATGGTCGGAGCCATAAGAGATGTGTGCAAAGAGCTGGGGGGGCCAGAGGGGAAACTGACTCAGTCTGGAGTTGTGTTGGGGGGGGGGCGGTTGGAGCCCAAATGGAGGAGGTAGTTACGTGGATTC